AAGTTATTTATGTTTATCAATCATAAACAGAATCCAGCAATTACTAGGCTCTTTGACACTGCTTTGCAGCCAAGGTTTCATGTTTCATGATCTAATTTTATTATGTACTTCTTTGCCTTAGTGGGGATGGAACCCTGGTCTCTGCCCTTTGCTACATGCAGAACCCTTTTTTATTTTAAGACAGAGTCTTGCTAAATTTCCTAAGCTGGCTTTGAATTTGCCATTCATCTGTCTCAGCCTTGCAAATGGCTAGGGCGGCATGACTATGCTACCACAATGGACTGATCAGCTACTTGTAATCATGAATAATTAATCTACCCTGAATGTGTTGGGAGAGCTGGGGCACTGCCAGTAACATCAAGCTCATTTGTCCTCTTCTCCCTGTTGTGGAGCCCTCACTCTGGGACTCCTGGGCTTCTTAGTCCTTTGTTATCAATAGCTTTTTTTTTCCTGACCAATGATCTATTTCTTGATAATATCATCTTTTTATTTTAGGTTTTTGGTGCCAGGGATGGCACTGGGACTGATTTGTGGATGATAATGAATGCAAGAAACAAAAAAGAGTGTTAAGATCATTTGAAGGCCCAGGCAGGCTTTGTATAAGAGGCAGGACTTAAACAGATTCTTAAAGCCTGGAGAAGTGAGGATGAGCAGGGAGAAGAAAACATTCATGACGGGTGTTGGGTAAAGGTGAGGAAATAGGCCCAGGTGAATGGGACAGCATGGCACACATACTGGAGAGAAGGCAGGCACTGAACTGTGGTACCAACATGAGGAATTAGCTGAAGTGAGGGGAGCAGTAAGCAATACTGTGGTCCAGCTTTGTAGGCAAAATAGAGCCTCATGGCAACTTACTCTGTTTTCTGTTCCTATGAGAAAACACCTGAGGCTGAGTCTTTATAAAGGAAAGAGGTTTACTTAGCTCACAGTCTGAGAGGATGACAGTTGCAGACAAGGCAGTATTATCTCTTCAACGTCTTGTGACAGCTTCCTATTGTACAACAGGAGAAAGGGAACTTGCAACATACCAGAAGGGCCCAAGCATGGGTGTGGCATTGCTTTGTAACAATCTCCATTCTTAAGGAATAGCTCATTCTCGAATACCAGCATTAATCCATTCTAAGGACCTGGCTCACAGGATATAATTACCTTTCATTAGGCCCCACTTTTCAAAAGCTCCACCACCTCTCAACATGGCCAGTGAGGAAACCAAGCTCCCAACATATAAATCTGTGGGAAACACAAACATATCCAAACCATGCACATGAAACAGTCAAGAAGAGAGAGGAAACTGGTCCAGAGAGAAGACTAAATGCTAACTGTTGGTGATCTTCTGAAACAACCAGCATGGATCTCTGAAGCATGTCATCTGTGAAGCCTGGAGCTTGACTCAAATACAGGTGCTGCTGGGCAGCTTGGCTTGGTTAGGTCCAGCTCAATTCCAGGCTTCCTGAGTCACCAGTACCGGGCTTGCAGATACTCATCTCAGAGTACTCTCTGGAGGCTTTCCTTTGTGGCTCAGGAAGGCCAGAGCTGATCTCCAACACAGCTGTGGTGTCTGGAATGTGGCTGGGTGAACTTTTGTCTTAATGTGGTTGTTACCAGGATTAAGGATGCAGCATCAGTCAAAAGTGGAAGGTCTGGAAGCTCACTGTAGAGTGCCATTAGAGGACTTCATTAGGGCCTTCTTAGGTGACTGAAGAAACTGGAGACTGCCTTCCAAAGGCAGTGGTGAAGACTGGAGCTCTTCTGAAACAGGGACTTCTTTCTTTCCCTTTTATTTAGGGCAGGCTAGAAGCCTATTGGTTGATGCTACCACATCTGGGGTGTCTTCCTGCCTCCGTTCGCTGGGCTACATGCCAGTCAACCACAGACACACCCAGAACTGTGTTTCACTAATGTGCTGGACATTTCTTATTCAAGTCAATGTACTTACCACAATGAACTCTCAGGAGTAGGATGAAATCGAGTTGGGCAAGGCCAGAAGAACAAAGACAACCAGAGTGTCTAACAATTCTCCACATTTGGCCTGTGCAATCAAATTTCTTCAATTTCATAATAATGCTTAAAAATTTCTAGCCAAGCTTGAGATGATGCTACAGTGAAATGAGACGTTTTAAAGTTTAGGGATGCTTCTGGGTCCTTTTCATGTTGGCAGAATATACATAATTTTGGACTGAGGATGTTATGAATTGAAGATGGACATGAATTCTTTGAAAAAATAAAACTTTAGTCAAATTAACAATTTTATATATTAAAATGCTGCTCTTTAGGGGATTATGTCAGTATCATTAAAAAAACAACTTTGGGCATAAAGCACTTATTTGTAAAGTATTGCCTTATGTAGTCTTTTTTTGATGAGACCTTGGATATATCTTAGCTTTGAAACTTTATTTTTGAGCTGGGCATGGTGATGCACACCTATAATCCCAGCTCATGGGAGGCTGAGTCAGGAGGATTGCTTCAAATTCAAGGTCAACCTGGGCTGTATAGTGAGTTCAAGGCCAACGTAAACTACATAGAGAGATCCTGACTCAAAAAGACAAACAAAGAAACAAACAACCCACTTTATTTTTTGGTGTTTCCTCCCTTACTTTTGCTTTTCCTTTGTACTTCCCTGTTACATCTCTTTCTTCACATCTGTTTAGAGAATTTGGGTTTGTAGTTCAGGCTGGCCTTGTATTCACTACATAGTCCAGACTGGCCTTCAATTTACAGCTATTCTCCTGCCCCAGCCTCCCAAGTACCGGAATACAGGTGTGTACCACCACACCCAGCATTGCCCATTCTTCCTTGCAGCAAATGTTTCAGTTTCCTTGCAGGAAAAGCATGGGGCAAATGAGATCCTTTATGGACTGTCCCTTGCCTAGTGTCCACCCAACGTGATTCATTGTTGGGGTTTCTTAGATATCCAGGCAAGTATGATTTCCCCAGAGAAGTCATTCTTGATCCTCAGACATGGTCAGGCTCCTATCATAACCTCTATTTTTTTTTTTTTTTTTTTGAAACAGGGTCTTTCTCTATGTGCCAGGTTGTTCTCCAACTCATGGCTATTATCCTGCCTCAGCCTCCTAAGTGCTGGGGTGTGTGAAATCATGGCCTGGGTGGCACCATAAGCTCTTGTGTATCACTTGCTTCTCCTTGTTAATGCTGTCACTGGCAGTGCTACATTTCTCTGAGCACAGTGCCCAACACAGTGCCTGGCTCACAGCAAGGGCTCAGTAAATATGTGCACCTGAGTGAGCAAAAGAGCAAGCAAATGGTGGCCCTGAGTGTAACTCAAAAGGACTTAGTTAAGACCTGGGAAAGGCTGCCTGGTTCTGGGGCCCATAGACCCAGTGCCCTTCCCCTTAATAGGGTTTGATTGGATACACGGAGACTCCAAGTGAATAAGTTTTCATTTTTTAAATTTTTTTATGTTTTTGAGATAGGCTTGCTAAGCAGTTCAGGCTGGCCTTGAGCTCACTTTGTAGGCCAGGTTGGCTGTTAACACACAAGGATCCTCCTGCATTAGCCTCCCAAGTACTGGAATTACAGGCGTGCACCACCATGCTCAGCTTTTTTTTAGTACCAGGAACTGAACTCAGGACCTTCTGATTGCCACCCAGGTACTATGTCAGTGAGCTACATCGCCAACCCAAGTTTTCATTTTAGTTGCCTATTATAGAAGATAAAATATTGTTAATTTTGCTGGATTTTGGACCAGTTACCCCTTCTTTCGTATTTCTCCCTTTTGGAATATAAGTGTCTCTCCTATGCCTGTCTCACCATTGTATTAAGTTCACAATGGGAGGAGAATTTGCCTCAGGAGAAATCATGCCTTGGTTCCATTCATGAGTCCCCTGACTTTTGAGTTATTCCTGGAATGGGAAAAGACTTTTTTTAATGAGCAAGTACACATTTCTGTTGAGCAAGTATTTTGTTGTGAACTTGCTAACTGTGCCTATGTTTAGCTTTGAGAAATGCAGCTGATGCTACATGTCTGTGGATTCTATATCTCAAGACAGACTCAGCTTTGGGTTGGAAAAAGTTGCAATTGTATCGTACATGTACAGACTATTTTCTTGCCATTAATCCCTAAACAATACAGTGCAACAACTCTTTATATAGCATTCCAATTGTATTAAAGAAAAACAATCTGGAGATGATTTAACATATATGGGATGATGAACATAGCTCATGCGCAAATACTATCAAGGATATTTGTGTTCAAAGGACCTCTAGATCCACTTCCCATAAATACTGAGGAGTGACTGTCCCTTCCAGTTTTCCAAGGGGCTGTACTGATAGGGTTTTTCAAATTTCATGATCAGAGCTACCAGGCCATTATTCTCCCTTCCCCTGAACCACGGGGGTGAGTCAGAGTTGTTCTCTGAAGAACACTGGGGGTCAGAATGCAGATTAAAGTTAGGGCACAAGGATTCCTTGGGTTGACATACCAGGGAGATCATCCCTGGCTCTAGGGTATGGGTAAAGGTGAAATAAGGAATATTTAAACATCTGTACTGCTTATGGCCCCAAACACTGGGAGCAGACCTGGGGTGGGTCATGGTTTAACCCTTTAGTTTCCGGGTCCTAAGAAGGGAGCAAGGCAGGTGAGAAGGACTGACGATCCTGTGAATGGCACCTAATTACCAATGTGCATTTAACCACTTTAATGGTTTAACTACTGGTGCATATACTGACTAATAGCAAACTCTGTGGGTATGCTTGGCAGTTCCGAGAGAAATATGGAGATGTGTTCACTGTGTACCTGGGGCCAAGGCCTGTAGTCATGCTGTGTGGGCCAGAGGCCATAAGGGAGGCCCTGGTGGACCAAGCTGAGGCTTTCTCTGGCCGGGGAACAACTGCTACCGCGGAGCCTGTCTTCCAGGGATATGGTGAGGACCTCAAAGCACTGGGATGGGGTGGGAAGGAGGCTGGGGTTTGGGGAACTTGAGTGTGAGAAGTGAGGAAAAGAGTGGGGAGGGTTCTCACCTCCTTGATCTTCCCCTTTAACCCATGCCTCTCCTACACCACTAGGGGTGATCTTTGCTAATGGGGAACGCTGGAAGGCCCTTCGGAGATTCTCCTTGTCCACCATGAGGGACTTTGGGATGGGAAAGCGGAGCGTGGAGGAGCGGATTCAGGAGGAGGCTCAGTGCATGGTGGAGGAGCTGCGAAAATCCCAGGGTGAGTCTTGAGGGTTTGGGTGGGTAGGAAAGGAAGGCAAGGATACAGAGAGAGGCAGGGTGCACAGCAACAGAAGTACAGGGAGCTGCACAGGGGCAGAGATGCATAGAAATAGAGACAGACAGAGGCATTGGGACAGAAAGAGATGGGATAGAAATGAACAGAGATAAGCAGCAGAGCAGCACAGCCAGGAAAGCAGTAGTGAGGTTTAGAGTGTCCAAGAATAACTTGGAGAAACAGGCTGAGTGACTCCACGCTAGCAATTTGTGTCCAGAGAAAATAATTCATGGGTTAACTGTATGTGTCAAAAGCTTTTACAAAAGGCTTGCTTGTGTAAAAGAAAGGAAAAGGAAAAGAAGAACATCAGACATGAAAATAGTGAGCTGTATTTTTCCTCCCTTGAAGGGAGTGCTGATGAGCAGGCAGTGAGCAAACAGGCAGGTGGGTGTTCTGTTCTTGTGAAGCATTTTCAATTCCTTTAGGATCCTCAGTCACAGGGAGGTAGAAGTGACAGGACTCTGTGTTAGCACCTCTGCAGTTACCATTCTTTCATTCAAGCCAGGTCTTTGTCATGTGTGGAGATTCTGAAGCTGGGGAGAAGCAACAGGGACAGAGAGACTGAGAAGGAAAACAGAAGGAGGCAGAGACAGGAAAGAGGCAGAGACAGGCATGGAGGGAGCAAAAGGAAGAGAAAGAGTCAAGGGTGGCAGAGACTCAGAGAGGAAGAGAAAAACAAAGGCAGAAAGTGAGACACAAATTAGAAATGCATGGCCAAGTGTCAGAGAATAGTCTATAAATGAGTGAGAGTAGATATGTGAGGCAGACAGAGAAAGAGAGAGAGAGACAGACAGAGAGAGAGAGAGAGAGAGAGAGAGAGAGAGAGAGTGAGTGAGAGAGACAGAGACAGAGAGAGACGGAGGACCATGCCTACCTGAGGTCCTTGGGCTCAGAGCCTCCCTCTTTCTCACCCAAGCCCTGGAGGAGGGAAGAGATGCAAGGGGAGTGACTGGGCTTTGAACTTGCACAAAGAAGTGAGGAAATGATCGGGGCTTTCAAACTTGCACAAGCGATGGATTGGACATGCTGCACTTCTTCCCCGGGCCTTAACTTTATCAGCTTACAGAGATGGAGCAGGGGCACGGGGTGAGATGCAGGGAAGGGGCCAAGTGCACTGGCTCTGTCTCTGTGCTGCCTGGTCTGAATCTGGCCCCAGGAATGGGTAGCTGTATTACCTTAGTCAAATCATTTAACCATGAATCATTCAACCATCTATAAAATGAGGGATAATAATAGAGCCACATCTTCCTTACTATGTTGTAGAGGAATTAAGTTAAAATAACAGAAGAAGTGCTTAGAGTACAGCCTGGCACGTAGCACATGCTGAGGAGTGTCAGAGTTCACTGCTATTCTTATCTTTGATTATGGAGTGACAGCAGGCACAGAGACAGGACAGCAGCCAAATGCCCCCCAGGCTCTTGAATCTGTGTCTCATGAAGTGCTGCCATTTTCCCCAGGAGGCCTTGTGGACCCCATATTCCTCTTTCAGTCGGTG